TACTTTGAATTGAGAATAATCTTCAAAAGGGCATGAATTATAACGTTCAGAAAGGTATAACCTTAATAGATGACTAAATTAACTCTACAATAAAAACTGTCTGGATCCATGCCGACGAAGCTTTAAAAAAAAAAGGCGCAAAAGGAGTCAACTGATACCAAGTAATTTATGTGTACAAAAACAAAGTTCAACACTATATTAAAAAAAAAAAACTAAAAATTTCTTCATCCAACAATGTCAAACCACGTCCAGCATCCAAACAAAAATTACAAGAAATGAAAAGAATCAGGAAAATGTGGCCCCATAATAAGAAAAGTCAATTGATATAAAGAGGCCTAGGAATAATAAAGTTAATGGAATTAACAGATGAGGGCACTAAAACAATGATTATAAATAAGCTCTATATGTTAGAAAAGGTAAAGAAAAGTAAGAACATGAGGAAAGAAACAGAAGAAATAAAACTTCCAGAAACGAAAAGTAAATATCAGAAATAAAAATATACACTGGATGGGATTAAGAATAGATTATATACTGCAGAAAAAAAGACCAGTGAACTTGAAGACATGACAATATTAACCCTCTAAATAAAGCAAAGTTTTTAAAAATCAGAGTTTAAGTGCCGAGAGAGAGAGAGAGAGAGAGAGAGAGAGAGAGAGAGAGAGAAAGAGAGAGAGAGAAAGAGACAGACAGATGGAGAGAGAATGAATATACCAGAAGTATAACTGGAATGCCCCGTCACCAAAAAGAATAACAAAAACCTGGGGCAAGTAGGCTATTTAAAAAAATAATAGTCAATATGTTTCCAAATTTGGTTTAAAAAAATACATACATCTAAGGATTATCTCAAAGAAAACTTATACTAAGGCACATCATAATCAACTAAAATACAGACATTAAAATAGTCTTCAATGCAGTCAAAGAACATAGAAAATTTACATATAGAGGTACAAAATGAGAGTAATATCAGACTTTTTTTTATCCAAAACTATGCAAGCTATTTCAGATACTATTTCACAACATGTTACCAGAGATAAAGAGGGACATTTCAAGATAGAGGACGCAATTCATCAAGAAGACATTTTAAAAAACTAAATATGAATGCACCTAATAACAGCTTCAAAATACATGAACCAAGATGTGAAAGGAGAAACGGATAAATCCACAATTGAAGATTTCTATACTCCCCTCTCTGAACAGCAAATCAGAAGAGCTAAATCCTGAAGAATACTATCAACCAATTTAACCTAATTAACATTTTTAGAAAGCTCCACTCAACAACAGGATACACATTCTTAAGTGCACACAAAACACTCACTAATACAAACACATTCTGCACGTTATAATAAATATATAAAGTATGTTCTTAGACCACAGCAGAATTAAATTAGAAACCTATTAGAGAAAAAAAAGATCTGGAAAATAAACCAAATACTTGGAAATTAAATAGGTCAAAAAGAATCACAAAGGAATTTAAAAATTCTCTGAACTCCATGTGAATGAACACATAACATAAACTTTGTTGGATGCAGGCTGATAAAGAAAAATTTTAAATATTAAGTGCTCCTTTAGAAAATAAGGAAGGTCTCAAATAACAGGACAAAAGAGGAGATATCACCACAGATCCTTCGAACATTAAAAAAATAATGGAATATAATATGCAACTTCATGCCAATAAATTACAGAATTTGCATAAAATGGATAAATTCCTTGAAAGACACAAACAACTAAAGCTTATTCAAAAAGAATATAAATCTGAAGAGCCCAATATCAATCAATGAAATTGAATTCATAGTTTAAAACCTTCCCACAAAGAAACTCTAAGCCCAGAGGTTTTCTTTAGTGAATCCTATCAAATACTTAAATAATCGAAATAATAGCAATTATACCGAAATTTTTCTAGAAGCGGAAATCTTTCCAACTCACCCTAATACCTGATTGAAAAAAGAAAAACAAAAAATGTTATTTAAAAACTACAAACCAATGCCTACTGTGAACATATTGGGTCATCGGAAAAGTCATTACGCATTTTTGAAATGAAAAACATAGAAAAAATACGTCATGACTTTTCCAACAACACAATAGATGACAAAAGTAATTAAATTTTAGCAAACAAATCTAGCAATATACAAAAAGTGTAACACATCATGACCAGGTCAGGATTATCTCAGAAATGCATGATTCATTGGTTCAATATTCAAAAATCAATCAATGTAATGCACTACATTAACAAACAAAAAGGAAAAAAACGTAATTATCTCAAAAGATGCAGGAAGCTATTTGATTAAAATTTAATACCCATTCGTGATAAGAAAAAAAACTCTCAGCAAGCTATGAATAGAAGGAAACACCCTTAATCTGATAAAGGGTGTCATGAAAAAACCTACAGCTAACATCATACTTTAGAGTGAAAGACAATGTTTTTGACCTAAGATCAGGAATAAAACAATGTCAGCTCAGCACTTCTATTCAACATTGCACTGTGACTACTAGGCAGTGCAATAAAGTGAGCCAAAGAAATAAAAGGTATAAAAATTGAAAAGGAGTAAAACAGCCTTTAACAGACAAGATGATAGGCTACAGAACAGCTGAAAAATATACAATAATGCCACTAGAAGTAATAATGAGTTTAGCAGAATCACAAGTACAAAGCTTTACACAAAAATCAATTATATTTCTATTTACTATCAACAAAAACTGATTTTCTTTAGATTGCCATTTATTATAACATAAAAATATAAAATAGAGATCAATTTGACAAAAATATATAATACCTTTACATTGAAAACTATGAAACACTTCTGAAAAAAACTTAAGACAACTTAAGTGGAGAGAGATACCAAGTTCATGCGTGGGGAAGATTCAACATCCTTAAGAGGTCGATTCTCCCCAAATTGGCCTCTAGGATAAAAGCATTCATAGTCAGTCGAAATGCCATTAGGCTTTTTTATAGAAATTGACAAGCTGATTCTAAAATACATAGAAATGGAAAGGACCTAGAATACAAAAATAACTTTGAAATAGAAGAACAAAGCTGGAGGATTTAGACCACCTGATTTGAAGACTCACTACAGTGCTACAGTAATCGAAACAGTGCAGTATTGTCATAGGACAAATATATGGATCAATAGAACAGAAGAGAGTCCTGAAATAGACCCAAATATAATGGTCCATTGAAAGGTGCTAAGGTAATTCAACAGGGGAAAACAATCTCAAAAATGCTTTTGGAACAATATGGTTTTCATATGCAAAGAAATAAATAAATCTCATTCCTTACCTCACACCACATAAAAAATTAACTCAAAGGGATCACAGACCTAAAATATAAGAGCCCAAAGCAGTTTCCAAGACATGAAGGAAAAAAGGTAGGAAAAATTTTGCCCAATCCCTGTGTCAACTCCTTCAATTTGTACTACAAATTAGGGCAGAATTAGAGAGAAAAATCTGTAATCTTAAATTCTGTAGTCAACATACGAATCTACTCAAGAGGAAACAGCATCTCCTGTCTAAGTATTCAGTAACTCCTAAGCAAATAGTTATTAAATCAAGCACAACCCTCAGAGCCATAGAAAGTCTGCCATGAAGAATAAAACACTGTCCGCATCCTTGAACCTAGTGAAAAAGCATGATAGAGGATTCACTAAAGCTTAAACATAACCCAAAATATAACAGCTGGAGTTATACCCACAGCCATTACTGAGGCTCAGAGAAGATACAGAGCTCTGAGCTATGGGCATGAGAATGGCTACATTCCTACCGTGTTTTCACTCAAATCGCTCAGTTTTGAGCAGTTAGTGAACAAAAGAAACACATGAGAAATGTACAATAAATAAGATGGAAAAAAGCAAATTAACATTCAAAGATTTTTCAAAAGACTAACCAAGGTTTATATTAAAAATGTGAATTAAACTTCATTATTCCCACCCTGCCTGCACATATCCAAGTTTTAAAATCAAGGATACTTTGCTTCAATTGGGAAAACAATGCCTTTTCTCCTAGTTCCCCAAACTGAAGAATATTATAAAATGGGCCGTTCTTCAAAGTTTAACAAGAAAAATGCATAGCCATAAGAAACTGATATTGGAATGAAGTATTTTAACAAAGAACTCATTTTGTAAGTTCATAAAAGTTCTTTAATTATTTAGGAAAAAATGAGACTATGTTAAATAGCAAAACTATTCTTAAAATGAAAAGAACAAAAAAAAGTCTTAGTATGTTTCCCGAATTTTTTAACAAAATCATTTAACATAAATAATGATATTATTTATCATGTTAATGTTAACTTATTATAACTTACCAAAACTATCTCCTAACATTTTTCAAAATTACATTATTTTAAAATACTCATTGATTTTCCAGTTTGAAAACAAGGTAGAACTCTGATGAGGTTTCACTCATGAAAATGTCTGAGGAACAATACACATCTACTGATATAGTCACCAGTTAACCAAGACCAACATACATTTTTAAATCAAAATAGCCTACTCCAGGGCTTTGTAAATATGGGCCTATTATTTAAGACAATAAAGTTCCCCATTTTATAAAGGATCTCTTAAATGAGCTCTTCTTTTTTATTTGACCCTTCCCACCTTTCAAGAAATATGGCTAGATTTGTCCCCTTTCACTTTCATTTGAAAACTCTTCCCTCTGATTATGTAACTCATCTCCTCAAACCCTCCCTTCCACCTAATCACTGTCACAGACATACGGCCTACCTAGGTTAGATCTTTTTCTTCTTTTTTTAAAATAAGGAAAATTGATATGGAAGTGGAAAAGATGAAAAAAACTGATTATCTCAGTAGTATCAGACAACATATATGAGAAACTGTCACTATATATTATGTACTTCAACTGGATTTTACGAATTTCCCTAATTCATCTACATTAACCCCCAAAATAAACTGAAAATGATTGCCATTCAAACTCACAAGACAATCTGATTTTTTTAAAAAACATTTCCATTTTATTTACTTCACATTATAGAAAAAGGAAAAGTGTCTTACTAGAAATGATGTATCAACAAAAAGTGCACTTAGATATGATCCTTGCAGAAAATTCTTCTTTGTTCCTTTTTCACAAAATGCGATTCCTTAATAAAGAAAAAAATATGAGATGGGTTAGTAATTGTTGTTAACTCTAAAACAGAATTAAATACATGTTTCATTATTATAAATCCCAATGATAACGCTATGCCTAGCAGAAAGCTCCACAAATACTTGCTAAATAGAAAAATAAATTTTTAAAAGTCAGTTGTTTGACTTGGTTAATAAAAACATAACATTAGCCCTGCCAGAACAAAGTTTAAAAACTGAGCACTTCTAATGTCACTAATCCATTTTTTCAGGGAGTGTTAAACGTTCAGCAGTATTCTTATGCACCCCAGGATTCACAAATTGGTTTCCTAGGTTCCATTTTCCTGTCCTCTATATCACAAGATAATGCTTTACATTGACCTGGTACAAAGAGCCTACTGAATTTACATTTTGATAAAATAGTTGAAAATGTTCATTGTATTATGTTCTCATTTAGGAAAAATAACACATCAAAGGGTCAGTGATTTGTATTGCCACAAAATACATTTATATACAAATACAGTGTAGGTTTCACTATCTTTTAAAGGGAAGAATAAAATAAAAATAATGAACATAAATTGCCAAAAACGAATATAAAACTGATCAATGGTAATAACTCACATTAATAAAGGAACATTGATGAATACTAACCAATGGATTAATCCAGTCCTGCTATACATTTCTGCTTTTCTACCTGCATTAGGTAGAAAATGGAGATGGTAAAAGCCACCACTCTCCTCATCCGAACTGGCTAGAATCAATTACGATGCTAATCCAATAATTTGTAATTGCATGACAGTAATTCAGCCAATCCCCAAGTAAATCTGCTCTATCAAATGAAAACGATGCCTCCACAGACGCACCAATCTTTGAATCTGATTCAACAATATTAATTACTATGATGCTGTAATTTCATTTCTATTTGAAATGAACACCTTGTCTGGGAGGGGCAGGGACTATAAACTGCCAAATATTATTTTTATATTAACAAATTAAGTATTAAAAACTTCAACTTTAAAACATACACACACACCAAAAAAGCCTTTTTTTTGCAAGGTTAAAGGAGCTTGCTTTAAAAAGTCCATTTAAACTTTTAATTGTACTGAAATGAAGAAAAGAAAAAAACTCCTCAAATACAGTTTTATTACCAACTTCCAAAATCCAATAATTCAAAGTGAAACTATTTTTCATGGGTCCTCGATCTAAACAAAACTAATTATTTTAACATCTTTGTGTGTCACAGCAGACATTAAAGTTTAGCAATTTGACCCATGGTAAATAACTGATTACACACAAATTTGATAGTTACAAATGTGGTACATATTCTTACATCAAAATTGATTCCTCAATTCTGTAAATGAACTGTTATTGACGACCTGTGTCTTGCACATAGTTCTCAAATAGTTTCCAAAAGGCAATATTCTAGGGCCGGCCGAGTGGCGCAATGGTTAAGAACTGTCTTGGGACGCCAGAGGGCCCCGGTTCGGATCCCACCTATGAGGGCCAGTGACACTGCCCTCTACAGCTAAGATGCTGAACAACAGCTCAACCTGGAGCTGGGCTGCCGTGAATCACCAGTGACGGCATAGGCTGCAGCCCCTGCTGCAGTGGGTTGCCATGGGCTACCGTATGTAGCCAGCAGCCAGCGTGGGCAGCCAGCAGCTGCTGCAGTGAGCGGCCGTCCAGAAGCCGGCGACAGATCTGCCTCACCCGGGAAGAGCGCAATGATGGTGCCAACTTGGGCCAGTGAAGCAACGTCCTCCACAACTAGACTGAAGAACAAAAATCCAGCAACTTGTCTGTTCCCCTTCTCCCAATTCCCCAGCACTGTTCCCATCCCCCCAACTCCCCAATAAAAATCTTTAAAAAAAAAAAGGCAATATTCTAAAAATCAAGTTTTTAGAGTTCTTTTACAGTAATCTACAATGAAACACACTCTGACCTTCAGACAATATAACCAGAACCAGGACTAGTGCTGCAGCCAGTTATAATTAAATTTCATATATTGAAACTCCAAATCCCCCTGCTTCTGTCCAGGCGAGGCTAGATAACATGTGCCTCAAATTGCTATCCCTCCCAAACCTGGTCCTAACCAGCCTCCTAGCTCCCTCTACTTCTAATTAACCTACGTGGCTGTTAACCTGATCTACAAGCCATGGCCCAAACTGTCAGGCTCTATAACTTTGTTCAAGTTGTTACCTTTGCCTGGAAAGAACCTTCCCCTTTGTCTCTTATCTGGATCAAATGTCTAGTTCAATGTCACCTGTGAAGGCATCCTCTGGATACCTTTACCATCACCAGCACTCCCAGGGGCAAAATTAGCTCAGTTAGTTTTGTAAGTTATGAGTCTCTTCGATTACACTGTATGCTTTTTTAAGAGAAGGAACTTTGTTCACTTTTTATCCTCAATATCTAGTCAATATCTGGCACATAATTCAATGTAATACATTCAGGAAATACTTCCTGAGAATCCAATGTAACGTATTCCAGACACTGTTCTAGGTGCTGGGGATAAATCCCTATCACCACCCCTGACCTCATGAACCTCACGTTCTACTGGGGAGGGCCTCCAATGCACAATGAATGAGGAGTGTGTAATATATACGGCAGGCCAGCATAAAGCCCTTAATGAGAAAAGAATTAGGCAGGGAAGGAAGTATTGTCATAGGGAGGGGATGAAAATTTGAAAAAAGGTACCCAGGGAAGACCTAATATAATAATAATAATAATAATAATAATAATAATAATAATAATTGGAACAGCAGTTGGCGTTACTGCAACAGCAGCAGTAACACTGGCGTATTTATCATCTGCTAATCAGCATCCTCATTGCTTTGCACATATGAAGTGATGTAAAGCCAACAATAACTTCACAATTATCCTCAAGCAGAAACTGAAATACTAAGAAGCAACTTGCCAAGGTCACGCAGCGAAGCTAGTGAAGTGGTGGAGCCAGGACTAGAATCCAGGCATGCTTCCACAGCGATGCCTAACCACAGTTCCATTACTGCTTTCATTGAAGGAAGGAAGGAAGGAAGTGAAAGAAGAATATATGCTATAGCAAGATTCACAACACAGCAAAGCAAATCACGGTCTCACAGGACTGACACATTTGAGCAGCTTCAGATATACACTGATATACACAGCACATCAACTCCCACATGACAGACACCCTGACAAATAACAGGGGGGGGGGTGCCTGCTGCGGACAAAAATGATAAATACGATAATTTCTCAATCACTTGTAAAATATATTTTAAATTTCTACAGGACAGTTACCAGAACTGAAAATTACACAAGACAACATCACAGAAATCACATGATTAAAAAAAAAAACCAACTACTTTTAAGGAAGGTACTCTGAAACAAATGAGACCTTTGAAGGCATTATCATTTCAATGATGGTTAAATCCTGAGTATCACATTTTATACTGTGGCACAAGTTACTGTCAGCTTCCAATTTTCCATATTAACATGGAGGGTTAAATGAAATGACTGAGATTCAAACTCCTCTCTTTAAACGTCTCAATTATGCTTTATCAAGCAATGAGAAAACATCTAGTACAATTGTTGATGATAAATGAAGAACTGAATGACCCAAAATAATTTGCTCCCTAACTCCCATCTCTTGCTATACTTGTATTAACTTATTCAAGTGCCTAATCAGCAAATGCCAATAAGCTAGAAAGCAAAGTGAAAACAAAGTGCTGCTGATATATTTTCCTAGATTCAAATCTTAAGGGCCTGAAAACCTAAGCAACTTCTCAAATCTTGATTTTTAAAAAAAACAAAAAAAAACCACCTTAATACATTTATGAAGGCAATTGTTGCCCTTTGTTTGGAAATCATCAAAATTTAATTGGACACCTCTGCTCTAAGCATAATGTAGTGTCAAAGAAAAGAGGTTTCTATGTGAAAACAGTTTTAAAGCCAATGCAGATTAAGACAAAAATAAAATAGGCGGGAAAAAAATTACACATAAAGAGAAGTCCATAAATACAATAAAAGGTGCATATTTACTCAAATATGAATTTCAGTTTGTAGTCAAAACTGAGGTTTAGTGGCAATGGTTTTTTGGTTGTTTGCTTGTTGTTGTTTTTTTTAACTCAAATGAGGGGCAGCTCACATACTTGGGCATCAAACTACTCACGCCTTAAAAAGATGTTTGCTACCGGTCAGATGTATAATAGTAACTAGTACCAGACATGCTCGCCCACTGGAAACAACTAGAAAACTGATCAGATATATAAAACTATAATTTTAAACACTGGACAACAAGCAGCTCAGCACTGTGATACCTGAAGGACAAGTCTCATTTACGTATGTCTGGGTCAGAGTCAGGAGGTTAGGAAGCCCAGCAAACATCGTGGACTCTGAGCAGAAGAGACAGAGAATGGAACTTACTCAGGGAGGCGGAGGTACCGGGAAACTGTGGGGCACAGAGGACAGAGCTTGAGAAAAGTGTGCCTGCAATCTGCAGAGGTTTCTAGAGCAGCTCTACCCAAAAGAAACAACGTATGCCTAAAATGTAATTTTAAATCTTCTAGTAACTACACTGTAAAAGTAAAATGAAGCAAGTGAAACTAATTTTAACATAATTCATTTAACCCAATATGCTCAAAATATTACTTCAGGATACAACTGATATAAAAACCTGAGATATTTTACATTCTTTTTTCCATAATAAGTTCCTGAAAGAGTGTGTTTTACACTTACAGCATATTTAAATTCAAACTAGCCACAATTCAAGCTCTCAATAACCACACATGGCTAACTGCTACCACTCCTGACAACGAAGTTTCTCAGTGCACATAAAGCCATGCATGAATCAAGTGAAACTCTGCAAGGCCAGGCCAAGAACAATGATCAGGAAACAGTAGGCTCAAAAGTTCCCAGAGATCCGGAAGACTAAGGGCTGTTCATGTTTGGATCAGAAGGAAGAAAGATCTCACTGAAACCTGGGGCAATCAGTAGACACTGAGGCAGAAGCAAGCACCCCTTAGGAGCAGTGCTAAAC